AGCCTTAGGGTTTTTTTTACTAAATACCTGATAATAATTGATAATCTTGCAATTAAAAAATATCAATAATTGTATATATGTAAAATGTCAGAAATTATTATAATATATCATACTGTATGATACTTTATAATTCTAAAATAATTTTAAATAAAAGTTAGACTCTAATTTTTCATAATTTATAAAACAAGGTAAATAAATCGAAAACATTCGGACAATGATTGAAATATAATATTTACTCCGACGTTTCGAAATTTAAATGTTTTCTTTTTCAGGGAGTTTTCATTTTATTTACCTTGTTTTATAAAAAATCTGAGACCTTAAATATTAACTAATTTTTAAAATTTAATTTTGATATCAGTAGTAAAAGTTAATTTTCTACTATTATTATAATAGTAGAAATTTTATAATAAAAAAATGTTAATTTCTTAAAAAATCGAATTGATTCCCTTTTTTTTTTGTCTTTTTAATTTTAGTCTTCGATTTTTATTTTTAATTAACGATTAATTAATTTGCTAATTAATTATGTTCTCGGCGCAGTAGTAAGAGTAAGTTTTAGTCAGACACATTTTTTTTTATCTTGGCTTAGTTGTTAGGGTAAGTTTTCGTCAGAAGAAACGATTTGAATACTTGCAATTTAGTAGGTAACCCTAGTAGAAATTTGTCGTGGCATGACTAGATTTATTCAAGTTACTGTACAGTTTTAGTCATGGAAGTTTAATCTAGCTTAACTGGCGAATTACTAGACAGCTACTGCATAACACTGTTAAAGAAAATATAAAGTTGAACTTGATTATTACTGCATAGAAGTCCTGTACAGTTATTTTCATGGCACTGTCGAGGCGTTCCGAGAAATGATGTTCCAAAGTTTGTCGTGGCGTTAGCGCTACCGCCAGTTTCAGTAACTAAACAGTTGTGTATTGACATTTTCGAAATATTTTCTATAAAATAAATCTTTTGGTTTTACAGTTTATAGTTTTTATAATTTTAATTTTGTTCTTTTATTTTACTGTTGACAACTAAATAACAAATTTTTTAAATTATTTAATATTAAAATTTTGATTTAATAATAAAAATTTCTTTTCAATCAAAATTTATTTTTAATGACAATTCCTTTAGAAAAAAAAAATTTTTTTAAAATTCGCTTCAATTAATTGAGTTAATTAAAATAACTAATTTTTTAAATTCAGAAGACAATTTCTTTTCAAGATTATATACTCTTATTATATGTATAAATATTAATTTAACAAACCTGTTACATACAAAAAGTTAGAATTGGTCCAATAAAGTGAGGTTATGTTTTACATTGATGAATTGACGTTGACATATGTATAGCTCTCCGATCTGAATAACAGAACTGTCTATAATTAATGACAGTAGACAGTAACAATTTATTACTAATTCCTTACGGAAAAAATAGACATAATTCTAGTTACACCCGCGAATTATTTCTTTCAGTGTATACTCTGATGTATTTATGGAAAATGTCTACACAACACTGTTCAGTTGCTGGACTGACGGTAGCGCTAACGCCACGACAAACTTTGAAACATAATTTCACGGAACGCCTAGACAGTACCATGAGAATAACTGGACAGACAGAACTTCTATACAGTAATAATCAATAAGTTCAACTTTAGAGTGTTATGCAGTAGCTGTCCAGTAATTCGCCAGTTGAGCTAGAAAAGATGAAAAGGGGAACTGCTTTACCTGCCGGTAGAGTATGGTTCTTATTTTTCCGGAATCGTCCATCGACTAGAACGGCCGTGATGCGTAAAGCGTGCGTTTAGGTATTTCGTCCCAGTGTGACCCGAGTTCGCTCCCCGAAACCGCTAGATATTTTTCGTTTGAACTGAATTAATTCTTCATATTAGGGTTTACTTATAAGTTTGTAGTGTGATAAAATAATAATATTTATTTCAGTGTTGTGCTTAATTAAAGGAAAAAGTGAATGTTGTTTAATGTAAAAAAATGACATGTGTTCAAGAATCAGTAATTTTTATATTTTTTTTTAATTATGTAGTTATTTAAAAATAATTTTACAGATAATTTATTATAAATCATTTATTATACGGAACAATAGATACACCAACAGTAAAAATATAGTTTCGTAAAATTTTAATTTATTTAATTTGTTGACAAAAAAATTTAACGTTATATTTTCAAATTTGTACGTGTTTAATACGTAACGTCAATATAAAGAAAGTTTTGACATTTCCAAGTGAATTATTTTGTATAGTTTTTCTACAGGACTGATGATCAGAAACTGTAAAATTTGACTGGACAATAACTTGAAGAAATTAGCGTGACATCACTTTATAGTTTTTAGCCAGTTTAACTGTAAAGTGCCTCGAAATTTTCCAGTGGAACTGTCCAGTGCCCTTAAAGATACTATGACAAATTTCTACTAGGGAAGAATTAATTTCGCCATTTCGACCAGGCAACATAATTTCAATTATAAACTTAATTTTTTGGCGCAGTAGTTAAAAAAAATTTTCAACAAGACAAATTCAATTTTCTAGTAATATTCTCGCAGTAGATAAAGTTACAGCTAGAAAGCGTACCTGTATTAAAATATTTTTGTAAAATTGATTTAAATTTCTCAAATTTTTGGCACAGTAGTAAAAGCAAGTTTTAGTCAGACATGAGATAAAAATTATTCCTTAATATTACTCTTTAATAGCGCGATTAAATTTACTTTCACACAGATTTCTGTATAAATTTTTAATTATTTGTCGCAGTAAGTAAGTTTTAGTCAGACAAAAACATTATTTTTTCTATCTATCGCAGTAGTAAAAGGAGGTTTCAATCAGACAACATATAACTTAATTTTTTAGGGTTGCCACAGGTCAGGGAAATCAGGGAGAAGTCAGGGATTTTTATTAAAGTACTGGAAAAAATTAAATTTGCAGAATTTTATAATTAGTTTTATTTTATGTTTTAATATATATATATTTAATTAATTATTAACAATCATGGATTAATAGAAGAATTTTAGTTAAAAACACTAAAAAAAATTGCATTTTAGAGAAGTTACAAATGTTTGCAAAAATTAAATTTTGTTAAAAATTAAAAGAAATTATAGTCAAAATTTCAATTATCTTTAAATATATAATAAAGTCTTCTCCAAAATTCAATTATTTTTATAAATAATAAATATTTCACAGAAATTCAAGTATTTACAAATTTGTTATAAATTTTTTCTCAATAATTCAATTATTTTCATAAATAATAAAACTCATCATAGAATTTCAATTATTTTTAATACAATTTTAACTATATTCCTCGAAAAATGTAATTCTTCTTGAAAATTTTATTAAAATTCATCGAAAAAATTCCATTATTTAAAAATTTATTGATAAAATTCTTTATGAGAATTCAATTTAGAAAAAAATTCATTTATTTAATAATTTTTTCATTTTTGTATTTAAATAATTGAATTCTTATAGAATTTTCAAATAAAAATTGTTTTAAAAATGAATTTCAGATAAAATTCCAGATAAAAAATTTAAAATAATTGATAATTGTTTATTTATTTCTATCGAAGAATTTTAATAAAATTTCTTTTAACTAATTACATTTTTCGAACAATTTCCTTAAAATTAAATTTAAAGTAATTGAAATCCTGAGAAGAATTTTATTATTTATGAAAATAATTGAAGTTTTGCAACGAACTTTTATTACATTTTTTAAAAATAATTGAAATCCTGCGAAAAAATTTAGTTTTAAGGAAAAAAATTGAATTCTTGCAAGGATATTTATTACATTTCTTTTAAATAATTGAAATCCTGCAAAGAATTTTATTATTTATGAAAATAATTAAATTCTTGCAACGAAATTTATTACATTTTTTTTAAAAAATTAAAATTCTGAGTAGAATTTTATTATTTATAAAAATAATTGAAATCCTGAGAAGAATTTTATTACTTATGAAAATAGTTAAATTCTTGCTACGAATTTTATTACATTTTTTTTTTTAAATTGAATCCTATGAAGAATTTTGTTATTTAGGAAAACAATTGAATTCTTTTGAGAAATTTTATTAAAATAGTAGATTTTAAAAATATTTGAATTTCAGAGAATAATTTCATAATTTGTGAAAATAATAATTAAATTCTTGCAACGAATTTTATTACATTTTTTTTTAATAATTGAAATCCTGAGAAGAATTTTATTATTTATGAAAATAATTAAATTCTTCCAACGAATTTTATTATTTAGGAAAACAATTATTGAATTCTTGCAACGATATTTATTACATTTCTTTTAAATAATTGAAATCCTGTGAAGAATTTTATTATTTATGAAAATAATTGAATTCTTTTGAGAAATTTTATTAAAATAGTAGATTTTGAAAATAATTTAATTTCAGCGATAAATTTCATTATTTGCGAAATATAATTGAATTCTTGCAAAAAATGTTTGGAAATAATTAAATTTTTTGAGGAATTTATTTAAAATTGTATTAACAATAATTGAAATCCTATGGAAAATTTTATTAGTTATGATAATAATTGAATTCATGTGAAAAATTTTATTACTTAACCCCATTTGAATTTTTTAATAATATTATTAATTAATTTCTTTTTCACTTAACTATGAAGCTTTAACATTTCATTTGGACATTTGTCAATTGTATAGAAAAATCTTAAAAGTCGATACAATGTAGAAATTAATTGAAGTAATAATTAATAAATCACTAAACAACAAAGTGCAAAGGTTCAAATAATTAAATGTTTTCGGATTGGTATTATTGTGACGTCAAACGTAAAATAACGTGACAATATACGTATATGTGTGAATACGCGTAAATGTAGAAAGAGCATTATCACTCAAAACTTGAGGTAAAAAATTTGTGTCAAGCAAATATAACTCATGGTTCCGGAGTCCTTAAAATTCATTTTTCAATATCAAAAATGTAGCAATCCTGCAAAGAGAGCATTTGGCAAAATGCAAGAGAGTGCTTTGAGGGGTAGAAAGGGAGGGGGTGGTGTGCGGAGAGTGCGAAGGCGGTTGCTTCGTAACAAACCCTTATTCGGATAAAAGTTTTCAATATTCGTAAAATTGAATCTGCACTCGAGTTCTCGTGCAGAAGGTGTGAAGTGAGATCGCAAATCGGCCCCAGGACGACTCTCCTCTCGATATATATATATATATATATATATATATATATATATATATATATATATATATATATATATATGTATATACACCATATTGTATATATAGAGAGAGAGCACGAGAGTCACTACTAGGATAGTGTTGCTTTCTTCATCTGTATAGGTGTGTTTACTTTAGTGAAGATCAAGCTCACAGAGGTGAGAAGGAAAGCTCGTACTATATAACTTTGTCTGACAAAGATAACACCAAAGTTCCTTGAGGGTGGGGCGATAAAGTGTGGATTATAAGGTGGGAGAAAGGGCGGTCGGCGCATGCGTTGCTTGTGTCAACCAAAGACTTCGCGCGGCGGCGACGATCAGTCTCGCCGGTTTCAAATCCAGAGCAGATATACGTGCAATTACTCTGTCAATAGTGGCTTAAAATTCGTGCATGCTTCGATGCAATTTAAATATATTATTTTCCCCAGTTTCTTTTAAGAACAATATTTAAATCAAGTCATTATTCTTTTTACTTTTCATTTTTTTCATTTATAATAAATGTGTCATAATTTTTAACAAATCAAACTTTCACTCGAACTTTATGAAAGTTTCCATATAAACAATTGGAGTAAAAAAGAGATTTGATGATTGGAAAAGTAATTTTAAAAATTTGTGCTAAATAAAAAGTTAGGAAAAATTTTCTTTCCCTCTTTTTCACAGTGACGAAAATTGTGACATGATTTTTGATTGAAATACTCGTTCATTATTTAAATGAAATGATTATAAGTGCTTCTTTGTAAATGTGACAGCGAGAAAAAATGGTTATTTACTATGTGATGGATAAATTGTCACGTGATTTTGTTATTTAAATGATTGTTAACACTGATGACGTTCAATTGGTATTTTGTGCTCAAAGGAGAATAGTGGATTTTTCGTGAAGTGAAATCATTTTTCTTTTTGAAAACTGAGTAAAGAAAAGTTTTTGGAGTTGAAAATGACGCACCACCTGTGGCTAAATCTTGTCTTTATTTTCGGAGCAATAATAGGTGAGTTATTGTTTTTATTTCTCCTTCAGGGGAGTGCGGAGTAATTGTGACTGTGAGCTGTCAAATTAAAATTCCGCACGTGATTTAATTTTTTCAATATTGTTCTCTAAATTAACGAAACAATTACTGAAAACAAACCGTTTTTAAAAAACTTTCACATTCTTTTATATTTTTTACTTATTACACACGAGTTCAAAAAAACCAAACTTGTTTTATTCTAAAAAAATTTATTATGAAAAAATGATTTCAAATTACAAATATTTAGAATAATTTGGAAAAAATTAGAAAAAAATTTTTTTTTTTTAAACACTATTAGAACTAAAGTACGGAAACTTTGTATTTGAAAAAAAAATTCTAGAGGGAAATTTACTCGGTAAAGTCGGTTATGAAAAAATGCTTTTAAAAAAGGGACAATTAAAAATAACGCAACTGCATTCTTTATCATATTATTTCAAATTAAAACTTCGTAATTTTCAAATTTAGCGTAAACTTTTATAAAAAAATTAAAACATATTTTAACATTAATTCCATAAAATTAAAACTTTTATAAATATAAATTCCGAATAACTTGTTTGAAAAAATAAAAAATTTAATTTTCAATCAAGTTTTATAATATAAGCGCAAGTTGATTCAATTAATTATAATAATATTTTTTACATATTATATAATTATTTTTTCCTGAAAACGAGTTTCAAAAAACCTATGACTTTCTAAACTTTCAACTTACATTTCGACTTTTAATTGCACTGGACGCAGTAATTATTAAATAAGGTTTTATCGACAAACAATTTTGTGTATTAATTATATATACTATTAAACATTATTTAACATATATTTATCTTATTATTAATTAGATTACAATTTATTTATATTATAATATTATATATGTAGCAATCTATAGTTACATTTATTAATATTATAAAGTATATAATACCCTTATATGTATTGTATATTGATACTGTAAATAATATTACAATTAATACTTTTTATAATAATATTAATATAATTTATATTTATGAACACTAATTTTTGTTATTTTGTAATTTACATTCTATTAGACTGTAAAAAATTTAGGGAGTTAACGGACTCGGGAGTTATGAGTGAAATTTTTTGAGTTTAAAATCAACTCCAAAAGAGAGTTAATTTCGAACTCCCTTCATTCAACACCCGCGCGAGTTATTTTTTCCTTGGAGAGTTAGCATTTGGGTGTGAAGTTTTAACTCTCTTTATTTAACTCCCCTGGCATTAACTCCCCAATGGGTGCGACTTTTATAGAATCCCCTGGGGAGTTAAAATTTAACTCCCTTTTTTTACAGTGTATGCATCTATATTATAATTTGCATTATAACTTCAAATACTTTATTTATTTCTATTACTTATTGTTTCCTCTATTCATTTTTATATTATCAAAACTCATAAATTGTAAAAAATGTTGAATCTGTCTGATTATTTTTTGAAGTGACTTAAAGTAACCCCTTAAGCACTCCTCTAAGTGTCTCCTGCTAAAGTGAGCCATAAGTAATCAAAAATCACTTTTGGTTGTCAACATGAATCACTTCATATTCATTACCACAAGATAGTAGCTCCTCGATATCAATATGACCGATAAATAAAAATAAAATAATCTCACACTGAAAGAGAAAAGTGCTAAATTAGTGCTGATTTCAGTATTAAAATAGAACCAAATCAGAATTTAGTACACAAATTAGAACTGAATCAATACCGTTTTCTTTTTATAGATATAGGCCATTATTAATAAAAAAATTTTCTAATATTCATAAAATAAATGAAATTAAATAAATAAAAATAAGTAAAGTAAATTTCATTAGCTACTTGTTACATTCTTGTGACTATGTTTTCCTTATCAAAGTAAACGCAAGTAAACGTTTCCAAGTTAGAACCCGTGTAGAAATGGTGGTCGGGTTCTAGTGGGGACCTCACCAGTTTACCCCATTTGAAAAAGGGCTCCAACTAGAGAAACTGGTGGGGTTCTACTCGATTTTGTCACGCTCTAGTTGATAGGGCCCCGACTAGAAGTTCTAGTTCACTTCTACCGGTTTTAAAAATTATTATTTTTCAACTTAACTTATTTATAATTGAATTCTCCATTCATATTAACATTATTAATGATTGTTGCACACGAAAAATCTCGTGCCTATGAGGGTTCGAACCTTGGACCTTGGGGACACCAGACGGATACACATACCTCTCGGCCATGATAGGTTGGATGGACTTCCGCTTAAAGTACATCCCGTTTGGAAATTCCGCCATTTGTCCCTATCTCTAGTAGGGCTCTCGCTAGATTCTGACTAGAATCTCTAGTCGAGAAAAACTAGTCGGGTTCCAATCTAATTCTAGTTAGATGATTCTTACAAGCATTATTTATTAAAAAAGTTTGCATATTATTTGATTACTTAATTTTTTAATTATTTAAACAAAATCTTTTATTTATTAAGTAAATTAAAAAAGAATAAACCATAAATAAATATTAATTATGTGGATATAATTAATTTTTATTAACTAAATATTGTAATATATTATTTATTATTATATTATTTATTATTATTATTATTTATTAAAACAATTATAGTAAATATAAAAATATAAAAAGTAATGTAATAAATTAGTTATGTTTAATTTTTCAATAACGTTATAGATATAATTAATTCATAATATTTTGAATTTTAGGGAGTTATTATTCATCACTCTTATTTAACTCTGCATTCCTAATGATAGTTAATAATAATTAATTATGACATTATTGAAAAATTAAACATTACTAATTGCAGTGCTTTTTATATTTACTATAATTATTATAATTATATTATTCAATTTATTATTGTAATTATAATATTATAGCATCTTTTTAATTATTATTATTAAATACTTGCATTAATTGTGAAAAACATTTTAAAGTATAATTGCACATACATATCTTTTTAAAAAAAAATTATTTTTACGAATAATATTACAATATTTAGGTAATAAAAATTAGTTATACCCACATAATTAATATTTATTTATGTTTTATTCTTTTAATTTACATATTAAATAAAAGATTTTTATTTAATAAAATTGCTTTATTGGAATTTTTTGTAAAAATATTCTACAATATTTAAAATTTTGTTTAAAAAATGTTAAAAAATTAAATAATTAAATAATATGCAAAATTTTTTAATAAATAATGCTAGTAAGTTTTTCTATCTATTAATCTGAATTATTTATATCTATAGAAAGATAATTTATGTATGTCATACTTTTACACTAGTTTGTCTAGTTTGAAATCGATAAGGTCCTAGTGAGTTTTTTCCAGTCTGAATTATCTAACTAGAATTTGATTGAAGCCCGACTAGTTTTTCTAGACTAGAGATTCTAGTCAGAATCTAGCGAGGTCCCTACTAGAGATAGGGACAAATGGGGAAATTTCTACACGGGAAGCCCTTGAGAGTGTATTATGTATCAAACAACTTTGCTTACCAACTTTTCTTCGTGAAAATATACATATATCTCTATATTATATTATATTATATTATATTATATTATATTATATTATATTATATTATATTATATTATATTATATTATATTATATTATATTATATTATATTATATTATATTATATTATATTATATTATATTATATTATATTATATTATATTATATTATATTATATTATATTATATTATATTATATTATATAATATAATATATAATTTTACATATATTTCCTTTAGATTATTTAATTATCTCTATGAAATTTTTTGTAAATAGATCAACCAGATTAATTACAAATCGTAATTTTGTAATCAAGTATTTCAATTATGCAAATTTTTTACTATAAATCACAAATACAAATAATGCTCGTTTATTATACGACAAATTCAACGGGCACAACATTCCAATTCCACATTTAGCGTATTCCATAACATACATACATGTACACAAATACATATACATAATGGTATGCCAATAAATCTTTCATTTCTGAAATTTTCCCCTGATATATGATACTTGAAAATGATGATCAACTTCCATATATATACTGTTCTTTATAAAAATGTTATAGCTTTATGATCACTTCTTTATCATATCATATGAAAATTCATTTGTTTGCACTAATAAAAAAAATTGCAAACCTGGGTTCACATTTTCTTGAGGATTTCAATTTTTTTTGTAACACTTTTTTTTCTGACTAAATAACATTCTTTTGATGAAATATTCAAAAATCTATTATATAGTTTTTTCGATTTTGAAAATTTTGTTCGATAGGAATACAACTTTATGTACTACTTCATTGTATGCCTTGGTATATATGCTTCTTCTGAGTTTTCAAAGAGTTGCGTTTACAATTTTCATAAATAGATGAATATTGAAATTTTATGAAATTTCAATTTTCAATGAATTTCATTAGAAATTTTAAAGATTACTTAGGTTTTTAAAAATTTTAATAATTCAAATTCTTCTGAAAAGATTTGTTAAATTTTTTAATATATATTTAATTGAGGGCGTGGAACGGATAACTTAACTGCCTGCAACGCATGGTCGAAAGGGACTGTACCAGTCAGACATCAGTGAGAGGCCTACAGGCGCTCACTATTGTCTGACTGGTATAGTCCCTTTCGACCATGCGTTGCAGTAGACAGTATTATCAACTGTTCCACGTCCTCAATTAATTATTAAAAATTGTGGATTTATAGACGAATTTTACCCAAGAACACTATAAAAAAATTGAATTTTGGAAAAATTATAAATGATTGCATAAATTCAATTATTTTCAAAAGTAATCAAATTATTTTCCAAAATTTAATTATTTTAAAAATTTTTAATAAAATTTTTGTCAAAATTCACTTTTAAAAAAAATTTTAATAACATTTTTGTCAAAATTTCAATTATTCTCAAACATTTTCCTCAATTTTCCTCATAAAAATATTATAAATAATAGAATTCTTTTTAGAAGTTTAATTATTTTCATAAATAACACTCATCGCAGAATTTCAATTATTT